TATATATAGTATTAGCAAAAGTGTGCCTGCTCTAGAATGGGCAAGGATGGGGATAGAGAGATTGGTAGCAGGTAAGTTGGGGTGTTGACAGGTGTAGTAGTGAGTATGAAAAATGGTGGGCAGGCATGGTATATCACCATGTGTGTGTTTTTAATGCCCAATCATTCTAGTAATATTTTAAAAGTGATTTCATGTGGTGGAACATTTGAACTGTAGCTTAGGTCCTGCTGCCATGGGCTTTGTCTGCCAAGTGCAGAACAGTAATGACAGGACAACAAAATGGGTCTCCATAATGGAAAATTAGATGACCACATACAAGCTATGTCCAAATTCTTTCTTTAGTCTTTTATAAAAGCATAACACGAGATGAACTGAGACTTCAAGTTGACGTGCTTCACACAAACAGACTAAGTACCTGTGTGCGTGAAACACATAAGAGGCCTCAATTTATTTCTTGTGGTATGCCCTTATATAAGAATAAAGAAACTGTTTGGACATAGCTGGTGTGCAGTCATCCAATTGTCCTGTATAGTGGCTGTTAGCAGATGAGCTGGGCAAACACGTGCCTATAGCATGCAAGCATTGATTAACCTGGAGCAACACACTGTTTTTTATACCTAGTAAACTATGCTTACAGTGTGCTTGGAAAAAAACAAATCCGGATGATTGAAGACTGGAAAAACTTTGCCCTGGTGTGACGAGAGTCCATTTCAAATGGTAGGGTCAGAAGATGACCTACAGTGTATGGATGCATTAATTTATCATATCTTCTGTTAACATTTAAGGCAGCTGGTGGTGTAATGGTATGCATAGTATTTTTCTATTAAGTCTCCACAGGGCGAAATCCTAAGGAATGGTTCCAGCAACTTTCTGAAGCTATGCTATGAATCACTTATGAAAGCAAAGCAGGTGCTACCTGGTACAAGATAGTTGAGAACAGAATGAGCACCCATTGTCATAGAGAGGAACAATAAAAGGGACTGTAGTTTAGATGGTCTTTTTATGTATGCTTGATATCAAATTTACAAAGACTGTTGTGCCATCTACAGGCATGTCAGCCTAGAACAGGGGTAGGCAACCTTGCACCCGGGCCCTTTGTTCCTTAGGCCCGCCACTGACTAAAGGGTTAGTAAGGACTGTAGCTGGATCCTTTGACATAAGGGGAGTACATTTAAGGTTTGGCAGATTGACATCCTGGTTATGGCAGGTCACCCAACAGGGCCTGCTAGTAAACACACCTTAAATCTGGAGTATCTTCAAAAGGTACAGTGTTTTAGGAAGGTGGGATATTGTTGGATCCCCAGCAGGAACAGCCGAATTTTTAAGAAAATCAAATCGATATTGGTCTGAAAAGAATTTGGGATGAGTAAATTGTTTACCAGGAGCATTCCAGTTTCTGTAAAGATCAGGTTGAAGTGATCTGGAAAAAGTTTGATAGTCTTAGAGCCTCTCAGGGATCCCACACTGGTATGAGTAGTAGTAGAAGCATCAAGCTTTTCCATTCTAAATGTGGATCGCACAGCATCAATAAGAGCTGATATAGTATGTTTAAGCCTGTAAACTATACAAGCTGATTCATGGCTCATCCGGAGCAAACTCATTCATCAAGTATTTGTGTAATTTTCAGTCAGAGAAGAAGTCCATGGCAGATGGCTCAGAGCTGCAAGCTGCTAGAGCTGCAAGAATGTCTAACAAAGATTCTGAAGAGGAAGGTGTGTCTACAGTCTCTGCATTTAGTGACAGCCAACATAGTAGCAAATAAAAGCTAGCATAGCTGTGGAGAATTCCTCCCTGAATAAGGCAGAAAAGGGAGCCCTTCCTTATAAAGCTATGGAAGACTGCGAGGAGTGTGTTGACTTGAGCAGGGGACACAAATCAAGTCTATTGGTGTATAGTCCCTTAGGAGGCACACTGCAGACTGCCCCAGAACTGTTAGAAGATCATGGGCTGGTGAGACCTGTTGCAATGGGACTGCTCCCCTTGTGCTTGGTACCCGACATGTTGTACTGCTTAAAAGGAACAACTTAATAGGGAACACCAGGTAAAAGACTTGGTTACAAACAACCAGCTACTTAAGCAGAAGAGGTTCAAAAGCTGGAGGTGACCAGATCACTGTAGGTGACAGCAAGGACTTACCGCAGAATAAAACCATCTCTCTTGCCGATAGGTAGAAAGGTGGGAATATGCTACCTCAAGCTAATTAAAAAAAGGGGGAAACAGAGCGGGGGTTGGGAGTGTGTGCATGAAGCTCAAAGAGGTGGTGAAGGGAAGGGTGTGTAAAGGTAGCATTTAACGTTAACAGTTAATGAAGTAGCTAGATGTTAGTAGATATGGTGTACTCATTAAGCCTCTCGGAGGCTGGGTCACACCAGAGGCTATGCTATGTCTCTGAACCCAGAAAGTGCCTTGTCGCTAAATAACACCGCACCCATAGGTCCGAGTAGCGTTACAGGCACAGCCCAGTATCCCAAGGTCACATTCTAGGCAGACTCTGCAATCCTCAGTCCAGTGGGGTGTGGCTACAGCCTCCAAGGCATTGCACATAAAACGGAAGCTTGCTGGAAGTGGGAGGAGTTATACCTGACTGGTTAACTTTTTTTTTGCCAGTGTCCAAATCCGTCTGTAGGCAGCAGCATAAGCCAATGGTATCAGAAATTACAGAATCATGTGCCCCCAATGAACAATAAAGAAATATACTGTATATTTCAATAGGAAAAAATGTTTTCGTAAAGCAATGAGCAATTTAACGTTAAGTGAAGGGCTGCAGTATTCCTATCCCAAGAATCATGTATAAATAGGAGTGTATATTGCATTTTGCACATAGGCCCTGTAGAAGTCCAGATGTCATCGGAAAAAACACAAACCCATCCTCTCTTTACTCAAGGTGCATGGAAGAAGCTAAAATTTGAATAAAACAGCAAAGGCTGCTTACATGGTGCACAGCTTGAAAGAACAAATTGATGAGTCTTCATAATATCCAGCAACTTCTGGTGTAATGACTTACAGGGTTTTTCACAAAAGGGTGAAGAGTTTGGAGAAGACAGGAGAAGTGACCAATCTAGGACAAAATAGCTGATTTGCAAAAATTCTCAGATTCAGCTCACTTTCCAGTTCAGCTATGTTGGCCTAGATTGTTCACTTCTCCTGCCTTCTCCAAACTCTTCACCCTTTTGTGAATAACCCTGTATGAAAGCAGACATGCGAGCACTAACATCATTCTTGGAAGTATTGTGGATCAGTGAAGTAAGAGTATCCACTGACTTCATACAGATGCGAATAAAAGTACATCATCAAGGAAGAGTTGACTAGTGAGATTAACTGATTAAGTATCTGTTTGGATCTGAGTGAAAATTAATATCACTTATTGATAAGACTTTTGCATTTTGAATGGTGCATCTGAGGAAAGTTTGGATGGAAAGATATATATAGGGATTAGTTTTAGACAATAAAAATATACTATGCAGGATTTCCAATAGATTCATTTTGAATTCACTCTAAATCATTTTGACCCACTTTTGCAGGCTTTTGTAGCTATTTTTGATACATGATCTTATCGAGCTACATTTAATGTAGTTATCACTAAACAGTGGTATAATTTTGTATTAGCACTTTTGTTGGCCGTTCTCCTAGTTTATCATGATCCAAAGTGAGGGAGAAGAGGGGTTTTTCTATCTTTGGGAAGGGTGGGGAGACACCATGCTGAATTCTGCCACCGTTTTAAACGAGACTTTTTTTGTCTAATAAAAGTGGGAAAAAATGACAAAGTACAACTCAAAACAGACAATGCATCAGACCTTATTGAGAAATGGGTTGCAGTAGCAGACTAAGTGTGATCTGTCATCTAAGAATAATGAAATGAGACTACAGTGGGCATTGAATAGGCAAACGGTACAACTGAAGATTGAAAATGCATTATCTGACTGAAGAGACTCGAGAACCTACAGTTTTTTTCAATTAAATTACCACAGATCAAAATACATAGAGGGAAGTTCCAGCAACTTGGTGAATCTATGTCATGAAGAAGTCAACTTGTTAATAAAGTAAAAGCAGGTTACTACATGATGATGATGGATAACTGTACATAATTTAGTAGCCACAGATTGCATTTCTAGATGCAAAGCTAACATCATTTGAATGTAGAATGCACCATTTTTAAAAAAATACCTTCACCAGCTCCAGGTTTAAAGTTGTTAGGGATTCATAGAGTCAGATAACTTTGGCCCTCATAAGCTACCCATGATATTGAAAATAAGTCTGACAGTTTAGCCAAAATTACAGCCACTGACTTAGAAGAGATAAGCAAAAAAGCACTAGTTAGAAATAAAAAATACCATTAAATTACAAGAATGTAGAGAATATTTAATTTAAACTGTCTCTGTTGTCAGGCTAAAGCAGATAGAATTATACTGTGTACGTGAGAGATGTTCAAAGCATGACCAGACACATTCTTGCAGATAATGCCAAGCAGAGAGAGTGAACAGACACTAGTGTTTCTGTCAGGAAATAATTCTTCCTATTCTCATTTGCTCAGTGCTCATCTTCGTCAGCTGGAAGCAAACCAGGAGCCCTATTAACATTTCCAATATCCAAATGTAATACGGCAACCAATGTCAGGCTTTCAGAAGTTTCTTTCACATGGGGGTTCTGTGCTCATACCACTGAACAACACTGTTGGTTATTCTCAGTAAAGTGTTTGGATGGTTTTGTTTCTACCATAATCATATTTGCCCCTGTAACCATTATTTAATGAATCAGAGACAAACGTTACTGACATCGTCACCTTTCTGGACAGCCAGGGGCTAACCCATTAATGCTATGATTTCGATAACATTGTGTAAAATCTTTCTGACAGTAGTAACCCTGTAAAGACCAGTTTACACTTCCTACTCATTACTAAGCAGCTTGTTTACATCTATGAATTATGTGAAACGTCAGGCCACTACTCCAATCAAGTAAAGCAGCAGCTGGAATCTGTGTGATCAGATATAATATAAAATTGACAATGAGACAGCACAGCTTTCTCATTATCAATTTTAGTTTACATGTATGCATGTTTTAGTGCATTTATAAAACACATGACATGCTGCATTTTCGTGCTTTTATCCAAGTTAAGCACGTCCACTGAAATGAATGTATCATGATAAATCCATATTCAAAATATTTCTCCCTCAGTTCACATAGTAGCACATCAAACATGCAAGTTACCACATATGCATGAGTGTGGAAGGGTCCAAAGTGCTGGACTGAGCACCTGATTTTTGTACTGGGGTGTATTGCAGTACTTTTTGAGGTGGCTGTCTTTTGGCTATAAACATTTTGAAATATTAAAACTATGAATATCGAGGTACACTATATCTTTGGTGCACGTAGAGGAGTTTACATCTGAACGAATCACTGTCACTGAGAAAAAAAGGGAGAAATCAAACATTTTAGAGCTGTCCCCAGAACAAGAGGTAAGGTGAAATCTTCCAGTGGGGACACTTGCTCTGTGGACAACTCTCTAACTGGGGAATTCCCCTCACTTGGGGAGATGTCCTCCCTGGGACAGGAAGTGAATGGAAATTTCCTCAATGGCACATAGACAGCAAAAAATATGCAGGCAGGAGTTTTAACTATTCTTTACTCTGTCCAAAACTGAAACAGGTTTGGCTATACAAACACAAGCAAAAGGGTGGTCACAGCAAATATTATTTCATGTATGTTTTTTTTCTTCAGTGGATGGCTTTCCTGTGTGTCTGTGAAAAGAAAATGTCCATCTATATCTGACCTTAGGGTTTTCCATGAAAATCTTCTCCATGTTGCAATAAGAACAGTAAGAGGAAACTTGACTAAAAAGTGAAGCACCATAGTTAAACTTTTAGCCATGATTTTGCAATGTGATCTCCTTTTTTCACATTTCCATAAAATTCTAGTAAGTTGATTAGTCAGCAAAACACACTGTTTGCCTGCCCTGATTGGTCTTACAAAGTGAAATTGTATCTACTGTAGTGAAAGTAAATGAATTGGTTTTGGCCAAAGCAAACAGAGCATTAAAACATAAGAAGGGCCCTTTAGAAAAGGTCAGCTAATGGGGAGAGAAAGAGTTGTTTACATGAGTTTAGGGTAATGACACCATAGTATGGATCTAAAGCATTCTTGCAGCATTAAAAAGGAGTAGAACATTTAGCAGAGATGGAAGAAATCCAAAACCATTTACAATATTGCTATTGTGGTGGAGTGTGCTTAGAAAGAGATGGAAGAAAGCAGAAGGGAAGGATTGTGAAATATGTATTCAGTGCAAAATGTACCATCCTCTTTTGTGTACTTTAGTTGATAAGAAATGTGTTGGTTTATGTTACTATTTGCAACCAAGAGTTATAATTTTTTACATCTCATACAGTAATGTCTGTCTATTTACTGTCTATTTACCTGAACAGGTACAAAGCACTATTTACTAAAAAAAGTGTTTTCTCACCATATCTGCTGATTGAGGTCCGTGATATGCTAGCTGAAGCTGGGATATTGTATGAAGAGGTTTGTTTGGGAACCAGTGCCACCACTGACCGATCTGAGACCTACATGGAAAGGAAAACATTTGAAAAGTTATCTTTGTACAGTAATGATTTACATATTTAATAAATAGTTCTGATTTTTTACATGCATATAATGTCTAAAGCTGGAGTAGTCAAGCAAAAAGGCCTTTATTAATCAGGATATTTAAGAAATCATAGCAGGTTAAGTATAATTATAGCTATTAGCATGCATACAAATGCTGTCATTCTTTTATTTCCTTGATAATTAGGGGGTTTAAAGGATCCCGGTGTTGCCACTCAATCTTCTATACAAACACAACATACCTAACAGTGTTGAGGAACACAGCCAAAGCACAAAAGTGCACAGTGTGTGGTTCAAATCTGAATGATATTATGTAACCAACTTAACTATATTATTTTCTCTAAAAGAATATGTAAAAATATTATCTTTGTGTTTACAGTTGAAACTTTTATACAAAGTAAATTCATTTATCTTTAAAAATCAACATTTTAGGCTCTCAAACTAGTCACTTACAAGTTTATTTTATAATCCCTTTGAAAATGTTCCAGTCCTCTAAAATGTTTTTTTTGTTTTCTAACCTTCCCAACTATTTACCTTAGCATAGTAAATGAGGTAAATCTCTGCTAACTTCCATCATCCATTCATGTGCAAATAAAATACTGTGTTTTTAATTGCCCTTGCTAAATGAGCGAATATTCTTTGCATTCAGAGAAACTTTATGTCCCTTTACACTAACAGAGGCAATAAAACACCAAGTTTACTTTCACATAAATCTAATAAGCAACACTTTTGATACTAGAGAAAGATACATCCTTTTGCAACTTCATGCAATCAAAATCTATGCACCAAACTGATTATAGTTAAAGTTTAGGACTTAAACCTATTTTAATGACTAAATTCATTAATTCTATGATGCCATTGTACCATGAGGCTCAAAACATGACAAGTTTTGTGCACAAATGCGTCACACAAGGCTGTGACATTATAGATTAGAAATAAAACAGTATCTAAACCCTAAATCTATTTTCTAGTACATCATGCCTTACTGTATACAATTTTCTTAAGTACATTTGATTGCAGTTTCCCCCCCCTGAGATTCTGACAATAACAGCATTTTCTGATACAAGCTGATGATGCCAAACCAGGGCCTCTCAATTAGTAGCAACACTGTCAGACTGCCATACTTGCTTCTTCAGTTGGCTTTTGGGTCAGTGCATTATTCCTGCAGACCTGATCAGCAGTAGATCTAAAGAAAGACCTTTTAGTCTACAGGCAATTTCCCCAACAGAGCTCTCCGTGGTGCTGAAAAGTTTATTCAGTTTCAATACTAGGAGGGCTAAATGTCACAGAAAAAAAAAAACAATGTGTTAAACTCACAGCTACAGAAGCATAATGTTAGACATATGTGAACCTCCTAAATATTAAGTGTAGTTTAGAATCCATGTAGAATCCAAGTGCAATTTTAAGCTGTTCCTTTTTTAAACTGAAAAAAGTAACTGTGCTCCTGTAACATGCACAATCGTAGATTTGTGCAAAGAGGTTTTCTGGAAAGTGGACTAAAATGCATGTTCAGCCATAGGCGTAGGGGGAGATTAGAACCCCTGCTACTCACTGTCATACAGGGCAGAGAGATTTCACTTACTGTCACAGTGACAATAGTTTCACCAACATGAAGGTAAAAGAAATCTTCAATGGCAATACAAATTTTTTTTTTTTTTTGGCAGAGTAGGGAAGACTAGAATTCCAGTCAGCTTTTTATTATGGTCTGTGTTACTGTTGCAATTTCCTCTAGCTTCCTGTCTTGTGAAACTATTGGCATCCTAACAGTGAAGGAGGGGACATTTTTCTAATAGAACACAGATAGGCTCCATTAGCCTAGGCTGTCCAAAACAAAAGGAAGAAAACAAACAAACTTGGGACACTTTGCACAATTTAAATCAAATGTATTTCCCCTATAAAAAGTGGCAGCCAAGGTTTATTTGATTTCTTCTTACTGATACATAATTTATATATAATTACATGACATTTTACATTATTGTATCATTTCAATTTATTTTGATTAAAGATGCTCAAATATAAACACTACTTGAATATATATTAGTAGACTGCATCGCATTGGGGGGCTTAAAATAGAACTATGGGCAAAACAGAAATAAGTAATATTATAACACCTTGGTAAAAACTATACTGGTCAAACAATCATATAGTTTTTAAAAGAACATTTTGTTGTCCCATCTTAAAGAAGTAGAATCCATGCAGTTTAATTACAGCTAAACTACAAAGAGAATAAGCAGCTATGGCAACTTGCCACTGGACAATGTTGCCCCCTTAAAAGGAGAACTATGAGGTGAGTGATTTTCACTCACCTCATAGTTCTAGCGGACCTGTGACAATGAGACTGTCACAGGTCGGCTCAGTAGATCGGGAGGTGAGAGAACATATACCGGCGTTAGCTCACCTCTTGATCCTGTCACGGCTCTCTGCCGTGACAGGGGAGGGGCTGGATTCCCCCCTCCCCGCTCCGATCCGCCAGCGCTGACTGGCGGGGAGGGGGCGGGTACAGCTGGCTCTGCCCAAATAGGCAGAGCCAGCTGTCAGTCACGCAGCTGGGCGGATCCCGGCACAATTGCCGGGATCCGCTTTAGCTGCGGCGTCTCAGTATACCGCGAGCAGCTGCTCGCGCTATACTGCGGTGTCTCAGTATACAGCCCACTGTATACTGAGCCTAGGGTGATGGGAGGATGCTAGCTTGTGTCCTCCCGTTACCCTAAGGAGAACTATGGGGAAAAGACTTAACCCCATAGTTCTCCTTTAACCGCAATGTGATATTTCAGGACTAATCTACTGAACAACGATGTTTCACCATCGGTACTTCCATGACAAGTGACAAATCCTCAGCTGGCTGTTGTTTGTAAACAAACCAGCTGGGGATGCTGGATGATGTAATTGACCAAAGTTGCTCATGAGCATATCTGATCAATAACGCCAATCAGGATCCCTGGCTAGCTTGTTTACATTTGGGTGGGTGAACTGGCTAATTTAGGCCAATTTGTTCATGCTCAGCCCAAGCCCAAAGCTCATCCCTACCCCAGGTAATGCATTTTAGTCAATCACAGACAGGCAATTACATTCAATTTATATGCAACCATTTGTGTAAAAAATGTAAATTATTATCAAAAGTGATCCTGTATATTTTAGTAAGCAAACCTTTTACATCAGAGACATTTCTATTACAATCATCAATATGATTGGATGATGTCCACAATTTCCCATGAGAAATACCAAGAAGGCATTTAGACATTTCCCCCCCAAAACAGTTTGGTATATACTGAGATAACTAAACACTGGACCATGCAAAGTGAGGTGTCCTTCTATATAAGTATTCCAATGAGGCATACGTACATCAGACTGCAATCTATAGTATTCCATCACCTTAGTTAAAACATTTCAATATCATAATGTAGACTTGTGTCACATGTGATACCCATATAACCACTACTGTTTTTTTTTTACCATTGACAGTTGAATCAGCAATAATGCATCAATATTGTTTATAATTCATATGTGTGCTATTGTTATAATAGATAGGGGGTGGCCATAAAGGTTATCGGAGTCTGTGTGTCAAATCCAAATGTAGAGCAAACTTAGACATTGAGCAAAGTGTCCAGGTGAATTGTATGTCTCCAGTAAGTCACTGTCCATAAGTGATTATCCCACTGTGTGGGTTCTCATCTGACATGAGAGCTTCACATCTTTACAGAGACCATCTTCATGACATTGTGTTGTGGAGCTTCATAAGGATGCAAAGGATGCATCTACACAATTGATGGCATTCGGCAGAATCAGTGGGATGACCATTGCACAATCATCTCCTCTCTTCGCTAAGTAACCATTGACACCACTGCTGTTTGCTGAGCTGTCCTCCTGTTGACCACAGGTGAAAGGGGGCTCTCCCTTTCCCACTAACAACCAATGAAGGATATCCCTCCTCCCACTGACCACTAATTCAAGATGCAGTCCTTTTCCCAATGATCACCAACTGGTCAATAATTAATTAGCCAATATAATGAGGCACTTTTCCTTTGCCATCAACATAACAGGAGCATGTCTCCACTAACCACCAATTCAAAAGGGGCATTTTACCATTGGCCACCAATAAAACAAAGCACTTCTACACACCACCAATGTAATAAAGCACTTCTCCACCAACTACCAATGTAATAGAGTCATTTCTCCACTGATGATCAATGTAATGGGTCACTTTTCTAATGACCACCAATGGAACGGGCGCATTTCTCCAATGGCCACCAATGTAATGGGTGCATTTTTCCACTGACCATCAACGTAATGGTGGGATTTCTCAAATAACCACCATTGTAATGGGGTAATTTATCCACTGGCCACCACTGTAATACAAGCACTTCTCTGATTACCAAATATTTTCTATGGTAATCTGCAACCTCACTGAATATAAGTAAAAAAACCCAAAAAAAACACCTTCTTTTTCATCAACAACACACTCATTCAATATTAGTGATATAGTGACTACACTGTAAGGGCTCTCCTTCCTTTCCCTCTTTCTTCTTTTTCATGTGTACTTCTTGAGGTTCCTCCTCACTCCTTTTTGTGTGACCTTAGGAACAGCATTTCAAAACTTGATACACTGTCTGTAATTTTAAGGGGCACATCCCCAGTGAGCACCAATGTAAGCCATGGAAGCATGTAAAAAGTAGCCTACAGCCCAACTTGCTGACTTGACACAAAAAAATACAATATTAAAATAAATGTACCTGTCTGTAAAAAATAAATAAATACATATTTATTTTCCCCTTGAGCTTATAAAAACACTGTACATTTCCTTAAAGTTTTCTTTAATTCATTTCAAGTCCAACTTCCTCTGTACTTCAATTGTTATTGACCTATGCTCGTTAAGTCTAGGTGGGAGATGAAGTATGAATGAGTATTACTTTAACCCCCATTTCGGAAGGCTCTGGCGCTCCTCTTTTCTCCCTGCTGCTGC